ACCCTAGGCATCCTTCCCTCCAAGAACTCCCCACCTTGCTCTTGGGGTGACTCGAACTCACAATATCTTGGTTGGAAGTGGAGGTTGCTTACCATCAAAACAACCCATCTTGTTAAGGCAAGATGTACTAATATTGAGATGACACCATGAATGAAGAAAAGCCTCCTTTAAAGATATTTTAAAAATCATGACCAGAAAGGAGATCTCATCACAATTTAAAAGGTCAACCTGACGTATAAAGTATTTCGCATTCACATAGTGCCTAGGGAAAGATCGTATCCTAAGGAGCGTGATGTAGACAGTCTACCCTAATGCAAACATTAGTGGCTACTTCCATGGCACGAACTCGTAACATATAGGTCACGTGAAAATAACTTTATCACTATTTAATTAACGTCTAGATCTCTATCACTATTTGATTAACGTCTCAAACCCCCATTTTTACTTACCATGCGCCATGTTCTTATTAATTTCTTCACTTATGAGGAAAGCTTTCACCTCTTTATTTCTCTTTGCACTCTTGTTGATTTCACCAGGTAATGGCTAGTTCAGCCCATGACTCAAATTAAGAAGCATTTCTACATTGCCATCTTATGTAAAAATGGGCTAAATTAAACCAATATTTTGGTTAATTATTATCTGAGTCGCGCCCTACAGTGCCATATAGTCTTGAAAATCTCGTAGCTTTGACTGCCCCGCCTGTCTTAAAGACTGACCCTCTCCCTTTCCGCCTCGCACCCGCCTTCCACATTGCCATCCTTGCATATATAATCTCATCAAGAAATTAAACTACAAAGAGAATAATTGCTAATTGTATTATTTTGAAAGTGTAAATATTTTTTACATTATCATATTGCCAAAAAAGTAACTTGAATGTAAAAGTCTTCAGATAAATAAGGATAACAAACATTTACGATCAACTATAAACTATGCTGATCACATTAAAACTCTCTATATAGATAGTGTAGTATAACTTTAGTAGATGTAGCACTACTTTTCACCACTCAATTCTAGAGAAAATGAAGGCAAGGAAATTCCTGAAGAAGTACGTAGAAAAGAAAGCAAAGACTTGGAAATTCTTTGCATTAGAGGAAAAATTTTGCCACCACATTTACGGTTGAAAGACTCGATTGATTTGGCCTTTTCCAGTTTCCACATAAACTCGAAAATTTCCCTAAAACGACAACATCCAATACAAATTAATATTGTGTATTTTTGTTAAAAAGAAATTCATAAAAACAGGCCCTGAATAAAAATTTCAAACAAATTGTGAAATTTTTTGGAAATGTCAGAAAAATATTTAAAATGTGTTACGCAAAATATCTTAACAAAGTCATGCTCTTGTTGCTATGAGCTTGATTTAGTAGTATTATTAATGATATGACAGAATAAATGAAGAAAATTAATTCTCTTTTTTCCTTAAAAGTGATTTGAATGAAAAGAAAAAACCCTAAAAAGACATGTTAAATATCATGAAGACCAAAAAGCAAGATGTCATGGCTATTTAAAGTCTCAAACTCACATAGTTAGTAGCCATACCAATTATGGAGAAAGCATTCACCTCTTTTCTCTCAACACTGTTGTTGCTTCACTATGTTATGGCTACTTCAGCCAAGACTCATACCAACATTACTACTGATCAATTAATTCTTCTTTCTTTGAAATCCCAAATCATTTCAGACCCTTCTCATTTCTTGGATGAGAGTTGGTCGCGAGCTACTCCTGTTTGCCATTGGGTTGGAGTCACTTGTGGTTCCCGCCATCACAGAGTGAGGTCGTTGAATCTTTCTAACAAGGCTCTTACCGGAAGAATTCCACAAGATTTTGGAAACCTCACATTTCTTGTTTCCCTTGACTTGGGAAGAAACAATTTCTTTGGCAAATTGCCTCAAGAAATGGCACATTTGCGTCGACTAAAGTTGCTTAATTTAAGTTTCAACAACTTCAAAGCAGAGATTCCTTCCTGGTTTGGGTTTTTACACCGACTTCAAGTTCTAAGTCTTAGGAATAATAGTTTCACTGGATCCATCCCCTCTACAGTTTCCAATATTTCTAAGTTAGAAACTTTGGATTTGACATACAATTCCTTAGAGGGTCAGATCCCAAAAGAGATTGGAAATCTTGAAAACATAAGTTTTTTAAGCTTGGCCGGAAACAAGCTCATAGGTTATATCCCTACGTCTATCTCGAATGCCTCAATGTTGGAGATGTTAAGACTCTCTCGCAATTTCCTTCAAGGAAACATCCCAGAATGGATCGGCAATCTTCACAACTTGAACCATTTGGCAATAGAACATAATCAGCTTGCAGGTTCTATACCTTTCTCAATTTTCAACATTTCCAAACTTGAAGTCATTGCATTCACAAACAATAGCTTATCAGGAAGTCTTCCCACTGGTTTATGCAATCGTCTTCCATTACTCAAAGAGCTTCATTTATCTTTGAACAAGCTTCGTGGTCATATGCCTACAAGCTTGTCAAATTGCTCAGAGCTTCAAGACTTGTCTCTATCAGTTAATCAGTTTGACGGACCAATACATAGTGAAATTGGAAGTTTACGTAACTTGCAGTTCTTGTATCTCGGATTTAACCATTTCACAGGTATGATCCTGCATTATCTTATGAATGCTTGTAGTATTGTATTTAATTACTTCAACAAAAATATTTATTGCACATGAATTGCAGGGATAATTCCACAAGAAATTGGAAATCTTGTTAATTTGGCGGAGTTAGACATATACAAAAACCATATTACTGACTCTGTCCCGATCTCCATATTCAATATCTCCTCGTTGCAATACTTTTCACTAGGGAAGAACCATCTCAAGGGATCCTTACCACGGGAGATTGGCAACTTAACCAAGCTGAAGGTTATAGATCTTAGTCAAAATATGTTTTCTGGTATGTATTCAAAATGGTAGCAAAAACTACAACTTATGACAGATTGAACCAACTAGTTAAACTCATTAGTATTCCTTCTTTCTTCATGTGTTGCCAGGTGAAATACCGAAAGAGATAAGCAATCTCATTGAGTTGGAGGAGTTATATCTAGGGTATAACAGTCTTAGTGGCTCACTTCAAACAACGATCTTCAATATTTCAAGGTTGAGAATGGTTCATCTTTCAGCCATCAATCTATTGGGAACTCTGCCATCGAACATAGGTTCAATTTTACCTAACATAGAACATCTTTTTCTGAATGGCTTGACCAATCTTGTCGGGACTATACCTCATTCTATTTCCAATTGTTCAAGACTTACAATTCTAGAGCTTTCTCAAAATAAACTCACAGGCTTGATTCCCAATTCTCTTGGATATTTGACTCATCTACAAGCCCTAAACTTGGAGGGAAACAATTTAACGAGCGACTCATTATTAAGCTTCCTGACTTCCTTAACCAATTGCAGAAATTTAACATATCTTTATCTAGATTTGAACCCCCTAAATGGTATGCTTCCAGTCTCTACAGGGAACCTTTCCACTACTCTTACAAAGTTTTATGCCGCTAATTGCAAAATCAAAGGGCGGATTCCAAATGAAATTGGGAACCTAAGCAACTTATTAGACATTGATTTTTCTGGAAACAACTTGGCTGGATTGATTCCCACATCAATTGGCAACTTGAGAAACCTTCAACGCTTGTTCTTGTATGATAACAAACTTACAGGATTTATTGGTGATAATCTTTGTAAATTGCCGCGCTTGGGTAGCATATACTTGAGTCAAAATTACCTTTCAGGATCTCTTCCTAATTGTTTAGGGAACATCACTTCCCTTAGGGAGATACTTCTTGGTTCCAATAAATTGAGATCCAATATACCAGCAAGCTTATGGAATCTTAAAGATCTAAAGGTTCTTGACTTATCGTCAAACAACATGGGCGGCTTTTTACCTCCACAAATTGGAAATCTAAAGGCTGCTTCACAAATGGATTTGTCAATGAATCAGTTTTCAAATGGCATTCCTAAAGAAATTGGAGGATTGCAAGATCTGGAGCGACTTTCTTTGAGACACAACAAATTGCAAGGATCTATACCTGACTCAATGGGAAATATGGTAAGTTTGGAGTTCTTGGACCTTTCTCAAAATAATATATCAGGAACAATTCCCAAGTCTTTTGAGAAACTACAATACCTAGAGTATTTCAATGTTTCCGTCAACAAATTGTATGGTGAAATACCCTCTGGGGGTCCTTTCAAGAACCTCTCAAGTCAATTTTTTCTCTTCAACGAAGCATTATGTGGTTCTCTAAGATTTAGTGTCTCATCGTGCCCCACTTCTTCAAAGCATAGATCAAATAGGAAAAGAATGCTAGTTCTATTTCTTCTACTGGTATTTGTTCCTATCACCTTTGTGCTTGTATGGATAAGGTATAGAAGAGGTAAAAGAGCTCCTCAACAAGCTGATTCATTGTCTGTTGTAACAAGAGAAAGAATTTCATATTTTGAACTGCTCCAAGCAACTGATGCACTAAGCGAGAGTAATCTGATTGGTTCTGGAAGTTTTGGCTCTGTCTACAAAGGCATACTCAGAAGTGGGACTGCTATTGCAGTTAAAGTGTTCAATTTGCAATTGGAAGCGGCATTCAAGAGTTTTGATACAGAATGTGAAGTTTTGCGCAACCTACGCCATAGGAATCTCATGAAAGTCATCACTAGTTGTTCCAACCTTGATTTTAAGGCTTTAGTACTCGAGTACATGCCCAATGGAAGCCTCGATAAGTGGTTGTATTCACACAACTACTTCTTAGACATC